CACACACACACACAACCATACACAATGTTGCACACAAACACGCAAACGCACAAACACACAAACAAACAAACAAACAAACAAGCAAGCAAGCAAGCAAGCAAGCAAGCCAGCAAACAAACAAACAAGCAAGCAAACAAACAACCATCCAACCAACCAGCCAAGCAAGCAAACAACCAAGCAAAGTATCAGACAAAAACAAACAAACAATAAACCGAGCAAACACATCCAAGCAAACAAACAAACCCAAGCATACATACACAGAAACAAGAAAGCAAGCAAGCAAACCAAGCAAACAAGAATACAAACAGACAACCAAGCAAACGAACAAAACAAACCAAACCAAACCAACCAAACGAACCCAAACCAAACCAACCAAACAATTCCAAGGACACAAAATGACACAAATAAGCAAACATACACAAGCAAACAAACAAGCACACACACACAAGGAAACACCCACTCACTCACTGACTGACTCACTCACTCATACAAACAAACAACCAAACAACCGAACAACCAAACACACAAGCGAGGAAAAAAGCAAGCAAACAACCAAACAACCAACCAACCAAACAAGCAAGCAAACAACCAAGCAAACAACCAAACAAACTAACAAGCAAAAACAAACAAACGATAAATAAAACAAACACATCCCAACAAACATTTCCAACCAAACAAACAAATCCGAGCATACAGGCGCAGAAACAAGCAAGCAAGCAAACCAAGCAAACAAGCATACAAACAGACAGCCAGGCAAACGAACAAAACGAAACACACCAAGCCAAACCAACCAACCGAAGCCAAACCAAACCAACCAAACAATTCCAAGGACCCAAATAAGCAAACATACACAAGCAAACAAACAAACACACAAACAAGGAAACACCCACTCACTCACTCAAACAAACAAACAAACAACCAAACAACCACACAAACAAGCAAGCAAGCAAACAACCAACCAAGCAACCAACCAAGCAACCAAGCAAGCAAGCAAACAACCAAGCAAACTAACAAGCAAAAACAAACAGACAATAAATCAAACAAGCACATCCCAACAAACATTTCCAATCAAACAAACAAATCCAAGCATACAAACACAGAAACAAAAAAGCAAGCAAGCAAACCAAGCAAACAAGCATACAAACAGACAACCAAGCAAACGAACAAAACAAACCAAACCAAACCAACCAAACGAACCCAAACCAAACCAACCAAACAATTCCAAGGACACAAATAAGCAAACATACACAAGCAAACAAACAAGCACACAAACAAGCAAACACTCACTCACTCAAACAAAGAAGCAAACAAACAAACGCCCAAACAAACAAACAAACAAGCACGCCAGAAGGAAGGACGCAAGCAAGCAAGCAAACCAATCCAGAACAACCAAGACCAAGCCAAACAAACCAAACATACCAAACAAACCAACAAGCACACCAACAAGCAAACCAACAAGCAAACCAACAAGCAACAGCCAACACAAGCACACACACACACACACGCGCACATATATATTATATATATGTATATGTACATGATTGTACATGTATATGTATATGTATATGTATATGTATACGTATATGCATATATATAT